AAAATAGAAAAAAGGAGCGAAAAAATAATAACGAGTGACCAAGACTTCAGGTAAGCTTTTATCCATTCCCGTTTGGTCATTTTTAACGAAAACTACCGCCACTATACACACAATGATCGTTAAGCTAAGAGTGCAAGGTTAAGGTGTACACGCAGGGCTGATAACGGGCTCACCACACGGGGAATCACACGGATCATTGGGCAGGAGGGAGCGCTCACGTTGACAAGCGATTTAGTAAGCCAATGTATGGGCCCATTACGGGCGTTTCCAGCAATTAAAACGAGTCTGCCCTTCCTGATAATCGATTTCTCGTCGAGCTGATTTTTTTCCCCCTCAACGTAAATGAAGTACACATTGGTGTGGTCGCTAGAGTATATACGGACCATCAAAATCACAGTGCCAGTACACAATTTAGGTCGAGACAAGTGCGTTACTTATAACTGATAATTTACATCTGAAATAAAATCGCACCTTTGTTGGAGAACTGTAAATCGCCATTGATCGAACTATGAATAAATCAGAGAGATTGAAAATAAAGTAAACGGGGTTAGCATTGATTATTTTTTCCTTTTACATTTTTTAATATCTACTTGATATTATCTTTTTTTTAGTAATACACTGACAAAGTAGGAATTATTTAGTTAGAAGAAAACAAAACGTTGAATTCGAGCTCGAGTGGTTACTAATATCGGTGAGGATGTGGACAATGGCTCGGACAATGGCGAGCGAGTGCATAAAGGATAATGCGATCACGGCAGAGTGAAACTTAATCGAATAAAGGCGTTTTGTGCAATCAAGTTTGGTTTAGTTTATTTTTTCATCACTCGAAAGTAAAACAGAAAAACAAAAAAAAAAAAAAGTTTCAAATTAAAGCAACATCAACCAAGATATACCTAAGGGAGACTCCAACTAATCGAAGTGCTTGCACGAGTGGGAGCGAAATCGATCGCGTGTAGCGTGCCGCACACGTTAACATCTCTACGCCCTCGAGATAAACGTCGCGTGTGCAATCGACCTCTGCCCCCCCTCTTTTTTTTTCGTGATCGAGTTGAAGAGCTGCAAAGTGTAATTGAACCAAGATGTCAAGTGGACAACCGAAAAGACTATTTCCCCCCTTTTTCTTCACTTACAATGTGATTTACCAGACCCAATGGCTACAGGTGTTCTCTGAACTCGAGGCTATATTCAAACACGCCGTGCCACACCTCTCACAGGCCCATCCTTGTCAATCCATCCAGTGAAAGACGCGCTATTTGTCGATCCCTCCCCTGCAGTGACATCCAGCTCACGCCAGCCGTCAACTTGTATCTTCTCCGGATGAGTATAGGTACGACCAAGACCTTTGCACCACTTAGCAGGAGCTAGAGGCTAGAAGCACCACATCCCCGGCGGCCCGAGTTTACAGCGCGACTCTCCTTCGCCATTATCTCGTCTCCGCGGCTCAGCCGGCCAACAGCCCAAGACACGTCACTGTGTTTCTTGGGGTTCGTTGCTCCCCGCGCCGAGCACTTGCACAGCTCGTGAGATCTTTACTGCTCGCGTGCCCGCCACCCTCGAGTCATCGCTGATTGAAAGTGTCCCGGTCGGTGATTATTTCATCACCAAACGAGCACCCGCGCTTATTGCACATGAGCCTCACGCAATAGTTAGAGGACCCCTTCCGGGGTGAAGCATGTGTGTTCGGGTGATAATCATCCTTTGTCCGCAGGATTCGTTTAATCTTTCGATAATTGCGGTACATTACACGCGTATTATATACAGATGACGTCATATGGCGATGAGAGACGTCATATTGTCGGGATGAATGTAACGCTCGTTGGCAGTTTGTTACAATATTTTGTCCCGCATGCGGTTCCTCGCAATAACTGCGGTCTCCACCCACTCGGTTGCGTGTACCCAAGCGATTTACCTCGATTTACCGCGAAGCATGTAATACAGCGGTACAGTTGTCGGCGGGGCAAAGGGCACGCCGCTTCGTTATCGCGGGCGACGTGTAGACCTCGCGTTTCCTCACACCCGAGCACCTACACTTGATTATAGGTCAGCCCCGTACAAAAGCTTATATCGCGCGTGGGCGCGCTGTCGGTTCCTCTTTGGGAGATATTGCGACCGGAAAATGATTGTGCTTTATCGAGACTCTGGGACGAGAGTGTCCTTTTTCTTCGATTGGCCGGATTGATCATTCATCTAATAGTTATTGGCTCGCGTGAGTTTTGCTTTATGGAAGGTTACGGCTAGTGGAACTGTCGAGGCTCGGTGGTACTTTTTTTTCTTCTTTTCGAAAAAGGTGTCCTTTATGAGCCTTCGAATTCCCGGTAAGGTGAATTGTTTACTTTTTAATAACATATAGTTTTATTTCTTGAATAAATTTTTACGTAATCGTATGAGTATCTGCAGCACAAACGATCACCGATAACTTTTGGCCCGTTGATTATTGTAAAACGCGTGTCGGCCTATTTTCCTCTTTTCCTTCTCCTGCACGACCGACCCAACCGAGCGACTCAACTTTTTTTTTTTTTTTTTCCCCTACAACGGCCCGAGCGGAAGAAGAAGTGCACTTGCATACCAACGACGCGCGGCAATTAAAATCCACTCAGAAGAGCTCGCGCTTTCGCCATCGGAACGACAAACCTATCCTGCGTATACGCGAGACAACGAGTGTACATACACGCGTCCAGTATATAATTCCCAACATATGATATACATGTATGTACATGTACGCGTGTGTTGGTGACCTGATCTCGCATTTTAATGTCACCATGGCGGTATTAAGCGTCGGACTAGACAAAATGCAGTCGGGTTGCATTCCCCAGCCAGTCTTTTTGCACAATCGTCTAGCGCGTGCGTGTACCTCCCGTACGCGTATATAACACATTTAGCTTATCCTACACACGTTGCTGGTAATAGGCCGTAGAAGCAGGACCTCGCGACGCACGCGTGCATATAGCCACCCACGCAATTCTACGCAGCTGATAAAATAGTCAGCCACACCCTTATACTTTGTATACACAGGTACGTACGTGACCTATTGTGTATACATATATGCATATGCATCTACACGCGATGTGAGAGATTCGCGCGTTTTATAAGCGGCTCGCGTTTCATCCTTTGTCTTCTCGCTTCTGAACGTGTATGTACTATATAACACGCGGGTGTATGATGTCGGGCAAGGTCCCTTTATGTAGAGCTCGCGGATGGATGGGTGGGAGGGGACGTACACCCATAATACGCTCAAATGGAGAGACCGAGAGTGCCCGGCGTGGAAGTAGGCGAACGTGGGGGGTATCAATGCGCAAAGAGCGATACAAAACAATGATACGCAAATGGGATTGATTTTGTGATTTTATTGACGTTAGTTAGTTTTTGCTAATTTTCCGTGCACCTACAAATCCTTGAACGAATGTAGGTCATTGTTCAGTACATCACAAAAGTAAGTGTTGGCGATAAATTCTACTGTAAAAGAGATTGAAGCAGAAAATTTCAAAGTAATTTATTGACAAATTACCATAGAAACTATTATGGCTTGCACGGGGTGGAAGGAAAAATATGCAAAACACAAGTTGTACAAAACTTTTTGCCACCGGAACGTTGATAAACTCTCGATGGGCATCCAAATCGTTCACGGACCCTCGAAAAACCCTTACCCACTTGTCCAGCGTACGAGGAGGAGCATACCCAAAATTCCAACCAGAAAATAAAAACCAACGACCCATTTTACGGGGGACACAACACGAAGTACTTACACGTACACTCATTTCGTCGAATGTTGTCCGGCTGCCTCACGACGATTTCACGGCCAAGCACGTGCCCTGACTTTTAACAATGACGACGATCGGTTTTGTACTCCATCGGGTAGGGTGAGGGAGAAAAAAAAATGGTACATCGATTAATCCGCAACGGATGTCTGCTCGCGTGCGTTTTAATTGCTTTCGATGTGAGTGTGTGTGCTTTTTTTTTATTTCTTCCCGCAAAGTACTGTGGCGAAGGAAAGAAAGGCGGATTCTCGTTATTTCGTCTAGTCAGGAGAACCGAGTCGGCTGGTTTTGTGCGAATGCGCAAGTACGAGTGCCCGTACATCTTTTTTTTTTTTTTTTTGCTCGAAGTTTTCGTAAGTCGTGATTAGATCAATAAAGGCATCTTTTGCATATTTTTCAACAATATTCATGGCTTTGAAATGAACATTACCCAGGGTATAAAACAATGAAAAAAGGGAAGTATATCGCTACTTGGAGCCATTTCAGCAACTATATGCGGCTAATGCTCGTTAAAGCACAAGCACCTCCCACATGTGTACGTATTATCGTCGAGCAAATTAAATTATCCGCAGCACCGCGTACACCGCAATAAAATAAAACCCTAATACGCGGCAATTAATCGAAACCCACTCATCTGCCCCACGATGTACCCGGTAATTGTGTCACTCTCGTGAAAAGTGAAACTCCATAACGGGAAGCGTAAAACAGGCGCTCGGGATTTAATAATGGGATGAAAACGCGTCGCGCGGAGTCGAGTTTTATGATTGCGCCCGCCCCGGGAAAGCCAGTGTGTGCGCACCTTCGCGTCTCCATTGGAAGCCGTGGCCCGCGTCGGATGATTACTCATATTCGCGGGAAATTGTTACTGCCGCGTTTCGGCGCCACTTTCTTCGTGTCCTATTCTCTTTTGACTTTTGTTACCTACAGTATCCCCACCGGTATGCTGTATACACACGAGCGACCACTCTCCAGTGGAAATCATCACCGAGTAATTTTTCTTTTTCGCAACAAGGTAGCCTCGCGAGGGATATCAAGGAACGGCCGAAATATTGACCGCGAGAACGCTCGTCCTCGATAAGCATTAATTTATCGTCGCGCGTATGATAGAAGAAAAGCACGTATACGGGTGACGGGAGAAAGTAAGGATCGGCCACTGCTCCACATATTTTGATTTCTCATTGTAATTACACCATCATCATCGCGTATGATGAAAAATGAGAGAGAGAGAGAGAAAAGGCGACTTACCGAAGCCCATGCGAACCTCCTCTTCGTCGTCGCTGTCGATGTGCTTGATCCCGGCGATCTCGAAGCTCCTGGCCTCGACGGGCTTGCCAGCACCGTTGGCCTGGCACTCGCAGCTCGCCTCGTTCTCGCACTCGCACGCGTCGCCCGCGCACTTGCACCCGAGCAGCGGGTCATCCGTGTCGATGTTACGGCAGGCGGTGCACGGGAAGGTGAGGTCGTCGACCGACACTCGCTCGATTTTCCGCTCGACCGTGACGAGGAGGGTGTTTATGTAGGCCGGGAGCTCGAGGTCCGACACCTCCTCCGGCCGGGAAACGCTGTCGAAGCAACGCTGCTCGCTCGACGGGGCATTGCCGTTCAGCTGGCGGTCCTTGACGATGTGGGTCTGCTCGGGGACGCGGTTGTTGGCCATCGACTCGAGGGCCACGGGGGTGACGAGGTCACGGGGCGCCAGGACGCGGCTGCGCGTCTCGCATCGGCTCGTTTCCTTCCACTTTTCCATGGTTGCCGGGCTGACCACCCGCGTGCCGCGCTTCAGCTTGTTCCGCGTCTCGGAAGCTGCTGGGGACATTTGGATTCGATATATAATACCAACATTGCTGGAGGTGGGGGTGGGGGACAATAACAAAAAAAGATAATGGGCGTACCGTGAGAGGAGCGGCCTTGGGCCTCCGAGTCGCGGTCAGTGCATCTGCCGGAGCTGGTGGATCTGCGTTCGCGAGCTGCCCTTGCCTCCTCGGCCCAGGCGTCGACGCTCGAGGACGACTTGGACTTGACGACGTCGCAGCCAACGTTGCCCGGCAGCTCGTCGACCTGCTGCCTCGGGGTGTTGCCGATGTAGCCGCCGTGTCTTTCCGTGGAGCGGCTCTCGTGGCGCGAGCGGTACTTGAGCTGCTGTTGCTCGTTCTGGGCCCGTCGGTTTGGCCGATAGTGGAGTTCGCCGTGCAACCAGCTGCTGCTGCTGCCACTGCTGGCGGTGGACTCGGTCGTCTGGGTCGACGAGGTGGTCGAGGTGGACGAGGAGGATGAGAAGGCCGAGGCCGTGGAGGACAGGGGGCTGCTCTTCTGGGGGCCAGCCTCGCGCCAGTCCATCAGCTCGTCCTCCCTATCCCAGCCAATGATCCCCGGGGCCCGCATCGACGACGCTCGCCACACCAAGGCTATCTGTTTGAGGTTTATCATCATCATTTTTTTTTTTTTTTTTTTTTTTTTTTTTTTTTTTTTTTTTCTATTTTTCTTTCTTTAGAATTTGCTTGATTTAGGCCACTTAGTAACGATGAATGAATCATTTTTGAAAATAAAACTGTACGAGTGTCCAATGAAAGAAATATACAGGAATTATCATCACGTCTGTCATAAAAAAAAAAAAAAAAAAAAAAACTTGTAGCATTTCCCATCACGAATGGTACCGTGAAAGAAATGTACGTATGCTCTCATCGGTTTCGCACCGATCATTGTAATTTCCAACGATCCATTTGCACTTTGAACAAAGCTCGTAAACTACCTGCTCCGATGCGAATGAGATAACACGCGCGACCCCGTAAAACACTCGTTCTGTTCCACTCCCCCTCCCTCCAGACGTGCGCATTCTCGCGACTGCTAATTTTCACCCGCGATCTCATAACTCCTCGCGAGCCGGGCGCGATAAAAATCAACGCTCCGTCTCCTTCTCTCGATGCGCTCTCCCAATTAAAGTAAGAGCGGCGGTGAAGAGGCATACACAGGAGAGAAAAAATGGATGTATATACGTTCTGTCGACAGTCAACGGGACGTTAGGAACGATTGGAATCCGATCGAAGAAGGGGGGATGGGAAGGGGCAGTGCTCTTCAAAAATATGACCGACAATGATACCAGGAAGTATGGTCGTTTGAGAGAGAGAGATGGGGATGTATAAATTATTTTTTCTCCGTGGACTTCAGACTCATTTTTCACGTGCCGGATGCGTTGATATTTTTGTTTCTTTTTTTTCTTTTTTTTTCTTTTTTTTTTGTTCGCATGCTCTGCCTTTTTGCGCGTCGAGTATAAAATTTACTGTTAGACTGGCGCTATGTGGGTCTTCATTAAAAGTTTTTAAACGTCGGCCCAACTGCTTTTCGTTTTTACAATAAAACATATCGAATGGAACAACTTAATTTACCGTCTTTTGTCATAAAATTAATGTCACTTGAAATTACTTGAACTTTCTATCAAATTTTATTTTTGTCAATTGTACTCTACGGTTTATCATGGCAGAAACAAAAAATTGTGTGAAAATTAATGGTTTTACTATTGTATCGATTTAATAAAAATTATTATTATTTTTATTTTTTTTGTT